TAAATTGAGGCTATAGTTTTTTTTGTTTGTTTTTTATTTTTTATTGTGAATATACTGTACAGAGGGGTTGCAATTACATGGACAAGATAATGAGTACATTTCTTATCAAGCATTGTAGCCTCCTCCTTTGTTTACCCTTCACATCCCTTCCCAGCCTCCCCTGTCCCCCCACCCAATCCTCCCCCCTAGTTTTTTTTTCTTAACTAATTGTAAATAACTAATTGGTAAATTAATCGTCCACAATTGGTACCAATTTTTTAAATGTAGGTACTTCTACTCATTTTTGGGGGGAAAACACTATTTCCTTCAAAGTTGTACATTAAAAAGAAAGGAAATGAGAGCAGTTGGTGCACTGTAGGAGCAGTGCAGGTGTCCATTGCTTATCAGAGGTCAAATGAAAATAGTTGGTAGGTAGGGGAAGCGGGATGGGTAATGGGGTAATCCAAGGAAGCAGCTTTGTGTAGCTCTGGGAAGTAGTGATACAGACACAGACGGGGTTCTGAGCTGTTTGTGCTGAGTGGCTGTTTAGTCAGAATGCAAGAATAGGTAGCATCTGCATCGTTCAATCCCTCAGGTTTCACTATCTCGGGATTCCTGGCCTTCACATATGCTGCTTAATTACTTGCCTGGAAAATGGCTACTCATGCATTAAAACTTGGGCTGAAGTTGCCTGGTCCAAACTTTGTGAAGACTCTTTTGGAAGTTGGCTTTGGTGATCTTTAAACATTTTCCTTTCCAGCCTCTTCCCTTCCTACCCCGCCCCCTCCCCACCCCCCTCTACCCTCCCTTTCTCTGTACCACTACTGATGTTTGAACTCAGGGCCTCTTACTCTCAGTTGTCATGCCTAGCATTCTAACTTTTGAGCTAAACTCACTAGTCCAGCTTTTTGCTGATTAATTGGAAATGGAGTCTGTCCGACAGTTCTGCCTAGGCTGGCTTTGAACCTCAGTCCTCGGATCTCAAGTTTTCTGAGTAGCTAAAATTAGAGATGTGCATATGTACACCACTAGCACCTGGCCTATATTATTTTTTGGTACTACAAAATACTCAGTATATTTTTTCCCATTCTTGTTTATGTGGAGTCAGCCACTTCTCCAAGTTAGCACTTAGAAATCAGTGTTGGCTTCTAGATGTGCTCTTTGATCCTGGACTGTCAGGTCCTGTCAGTGGACTAGAGGTAAGAGAGATATATTATACACCAAGTGTACTAAGCAAAAATGCCCACATGTATTTATAGATTTCTGTCTGTCTTTGGTATGTTAAAGGTCATGAGTTCCTACCAATACCTCTGATTCAAGTTCACCACAACAGGACTGTTCCTTGTCTTAGTCCTTCTTTTTTATAACTTTGACAGTTTAACACACACACACACACACACACACACACACACACGGCTATTAGCTATAGTATATTTACCTATTCAACTCTGGTTTTACACCTAAAAGGATTTCATAATTGCTAGTCCCTGCCATTGTAATAAAACAGATTTGATCGTTTTGTTAATGTAGTATCCTGTAAATTAACTATTTTTGCCAGGTGTTAGGCTTATGTTTGTAATCCTAACTACTTAGGAGGCAGAGATTGAGGATCATGATTCAAAGCCAGTCCCAGGCAGGAAAGTGCATGAGACACTAATCTCTAATTAACTCCCAAAAAGCCAGAAGTGGTTCTGTGGCTCAAGTGGGTAGAGCACTAGTTTTGAGCAAAGCAGCTCAGGAACAGTACTTAGGCCCTGAGTTCAAGCTCTAGTACTGGCATGTGAGTGTGCATGTACGCATGTGCGCGCGCGCACACACACACACACACGCACGCACGCACACTCACACACACGCACACACACTCACTCACACTGAGTTTTCCAAAGCTGCTTGGAATATTTTATTTTTTCCCTACTGTCAGTGTGGTTATATTACTCATTTAGAAAACAATTTATTTTCATGCCCATGAGAGTAGGTTTATTCCTGTTATCCCAGCTTTTCAGGAAGCAGGGATCTGGAGGATTATAAAGGGCGTCCCAGGCAAAAGGTAGTGAGACCCCAATCTCAACTAATAAGACAAGTGTGGTGATCCATTCCTGTTAATCCATCTGTGTGGGAAGCTGTAAGAGCATTGCACACTGGAGCTGGCACTGAGCAAGGCACAAGTCCCCATCTGAAAAGTAACTAGAAGCAAAACTGCTGGGGATATAGCGCAAGTGGCAAAGTGCCTACTTAGAAAATACAGGGTCCTGAGTTCAAAACCAGTACTGAAAAAAGTTTACTTCTTTTTTTTTTTTTTGCTGGTCGTGGAGCTTGAACCTCTGGGCTGGGCACTGTTCTGAGCTCTTCAGCTCAAGGCTAGCACTCTACCACTTTAGCCATAGCACCACTTCTGGCTTTTTCTGTGTATGTGGTGCTGAGGAATCGAACCCAGGGCCTCATGCATGCAAGGCAAGCACTCTACCACTGAGCCACCTTCCCAGCCCCTACATCTTTTTTTACGTGCCATTTCCCCTGGTTGAAGAGTTAGAACTATGTAAAATGTGTCCTTGTTCCTGTTACTCCCTTCCCTCCTTACCCTCATAAACTATAGTGTCTTCAGTGTTTGATTTATCCTTACTGTATTTCTTTGAAACAGAATTAGAGACTGGCCATAATTGTAGGCTCTATATTCATACAAATTAGGAGCTTCTCCACACATTGGAAAATACCTTGTCTTTTTTCCCAAATGTTTAAAAAATTCACTGTGATAGTCAAAATTGTGGATACATTAATCTTTCAAACCGAGAGTTACAGTCTGATCAAAGAATTTTTCTGCAAGTAGTAACTGAAACAGATCCCCAGCATTTGCTTCCAGCCTCTTCATTCTGTGGAACTTTCATTTAGTTGATTTGGCCTTTACTACTTTTCTAAAGCATGTTTTATATATACTCCATCATGCTGCTTTATAACTCATTCCTGTGTGAGATGTCAGACCTCTCTCACTCCTTTATAGGCTAACTTGCCCCTCCTTTACAGCCTGTCTTTATATCAATGTTTTGTACCTTGCCTGTTCCTCTCCTTACTCTGACCTTTTTTTTTTCTGTTTATTTGGCACTGAGGAATTGAACCCAGGGCTTCATGCTTGCTAAGCAAGCACTCTACTGCTAAGCCACCTTCTCAGCCCCTTACTCTGAACTTTTAAGTTCTAAATATTTCTCCTCTGGTTGTATGTACATGTGCGTGGGGGTGTATGTGTCTGTCTGTCTAGTAATCACTTTCACTTGGGTTTATGTGAAATGTAGAGATTTTCCTTCACTGAATAAATCTCTTAATTTCCCCCCCAACAACAGAAGTGTGAATTATGGAGTTGTCCTGTATAAAAATTTTAAGGGCTAGGAATATAGCCCTTCCCCCATGATAGAGCAACACCATACATACAAAAAAATTATTGTAGATTCTGCCTTTCTCTTTTTATCCTGTGTAATAAGTGAAGCAAATTATTACTACCACTGTTTGTGCTGAATTCCCATAAAATAATAATTTATATTTAACCTATAATGACTTATTTCTATTTGCTATAAATAATAAAGTAATTGTTATCTCTCCCAGTTTGAAGATTAATAAAAAAAATTCTTTTTTTTTTTTTTTTTGGGTCTGGTCGTGGGGCCTGAACTCTGGGCCTGGGCGCTGTCCCTCAGCTCTTCAGCTCAAGGCTAGCGCTCTATCACTTGAGCCACAGCGCCACTTCCGGCTTTTTTTGTTTTGCTTATGTGGTGCTGAGGAATCGAACCCAGGGCCTCGAGCATGCAAGTCAAGCGCTCTACCACTGAGCCACCTTCCCAGCCCCTAATAAAAAATTTCTTAAGTATGTAAGTTTGAATTTGTTTTTTACATATTTAGTCATAGGTATTGAACTCAGAGCCTCATGCATGTCGCATGTACTCTACCACTGAGCTGCACTTCCAGCCCACATTTTATCTCATGTGTTGGGCAGCTTTTTTAAAATTAGGCATGTAAAAGAAATTATAAGCATTTAAATCAATCTGTAAATTTTTGCATGTTGGACAGAGCTTGAGGTAAAGGAATATACTTAGCTCTACAGTATACTACTGTAGAGGCTTGATTTTGTAGTATGTGTGCATGTGCACACTCCTAGGATGGCACTTACCCTTGTTTAAAAAAAAAAAAAAAGAAAAAACACCAAGTAGGGATTATCTTGTTACCATCTGAAATTGAGCATCGAGTGTTTTTGGATTTTTTTTTTTTGTCATCTTACAAGTAGTGATACCACAGCTCCATATTTAGAAAAAAATTAAATCTTAAGACCTTCAAGAATTTTTAATTTAAATGCTTAATGTATGTATTTTTTTCTTGATAAAATAAGAACTTTATCTAACTGGGGCACCTTGTCATCTTAAGTACTTGAGCTACTTTTGAAAACTCCCAAGCTTCCTTTTCTAATGATTCTTTTCTCTACATCAATGTCTTTTAGACTACATTCTATATTTCCCTTATAATTATTACATGGTGTAGGAAATAAGAAAAAGAGGGGCTGGGAAAGTGGCTCAGTGGTAGAGTGCTTGCCTTGCATGCATGAGGCCTTGGGTTCGATTCCTTAGCACCACATAAGCAAAAAGAAAAAAGCCAGAAGTGGGGCTGTGGCTCAAGTGGTAGAGCACTAGCCTTGAGCTGAAGAGCTGAGGGACAGTGCCCAGGCCCAGAGTTCAGGCCCTACAACTGCACCCCCCCCCCAAAAAAAAAAGAAATAAGAAAAAGAAAGAAAAGTTGTTGGTTTACATAGAATCTCAGGTGTTTGCCACCTTTACTTTCTTTCATTGATGAAACCTCGTATAGTTTAAAGCCCCTAATCTCCCATAATCTAGACATTTCATGTTGTAAAAAACCCCTGTAATATTGAAGCCATGTCAGCAGTGAAGTTCTTTATGTCTATACAGTATGAATTAATTGTGTCTATGTGTGTGTGTTTTAACACTGATCTGCTTTGTTATTGTGTTTATCAATCTCTGCTATTTATTCAGACAGGAATGGTGCACTGTGATACAGCAGTTGGAACACCTGACTATATATCACCTGAGGTTCTGAAATCGCAAGGAGGTGATGGTTACTATGGGCGAGAATGTGATTGGTGGTCTGTAGGTGTTTTCCTTTTTGAGATGCTAGTGGGTGAGTAAATATACTTGTTCTCTTTTTAAACCTTTCCTTAACACTTTTGGTTAGTCAAGAATTTGGGAAGATAAAGGAATTGTGTCCAAGGGAAGAATTAGAATTTCTGGAGATTTGTGTTAAAATCTGGTATGATACTGACCCAGTCACTGAAAGGAATTGAAAGGGTATTTTATCAGGCCCTAGTGGCTTAAGCCTAAAATCCTGGCTACTTGGGAGGTAGAGATCAAGACAATCAACATTCCAAGCCAACCTGAGCAAAAAAGTTCAGAAGACCCCATCTCAGCTGAAAAGGTTGGACATGGTGGTACACACCGTCATCCTGTGGTGACAAGCATAAATAGGAGGTTTGTGATCTAGACTAGCTAGGGCAAAAAAATTAAGAATCTGTGTTAAAAATAAGCAAAGCAAAAAAGGGTTGTAGAAATGACCCAAGCAGTAGAGTGCCTGCCTGGAAAGCATGGAGCCTTGAGTTCAAGCTCAGTACGCCCCTCCCCCAACAAGAAGTATATTGTAGGAAATAATTTTTCAGTAAACTTTGTTTGGGTGGTTTTTGTTTTTCGAAACAATATCTTGTTATGTAGCCCTGGTTGGCCTCAAACTTATAGTCATCCTTAATTTCCTGAGTACTAAAGTTACAAGCTTAGCCAAACCAAGAGTATGTTTACAGATTGGAGGCATGGCTGAAGTGGTAGAGAAAGTAAGGCTTTAAAGTCAATCTTTGGTTCCACCAAAAATAAAAAGAACAAATTTACAGCTTCCCATATGCCTCCACTCTTAGGTGTTTGATAATCATAATTTGTGTTTAAGTATTTTAAATATAGGACTGTTTTAATATTTTTTCCAATAGTAACCTAGAACTAGAAATATTCTTTAGTTTGAATACTTATATATGCAATTGAATACTTATTATGTAAACTGGACTCCTTTTATTTACTACTAGACTGTATTTTGTTCATAATTCAGAATTGAATCATAAATATTATAATTGACATTTTTTTATTTTTTTATTATTTGGGGGGGGTCTGGTTGGGGGGGTCTGAATTCTGAGCCTGGGCGCTGTCCCTCAGCTCTTCAGCTCAAGGCTAGCACTCTACCACTTGAGCCACAGCGCCACTTCTGGCTTTTTTCTTTTTGCTTACGTGGTGCTGAGGAATTGAACCCAGAGCCTCATGCATGCAAG